CCCTCCACAAGATGTAGAATTCCTTTGTAGTCTCGTCTGTTGGTTGGATTATAAACTTCTTGATGGGAAAAGGGAGGTTTTTCGAATTTCCAACCGAGGGAACCCGATTTTGGGGTGCCTGCATGTTTTAAACAAGTGAATCATCCGATCGAATCGTTGCTCGTCGGCTTGTTCGTACTGCCCTTTTCCGGAAATTAGTCGATTAATTGGCAAAGTTTAGCAACGCAAACGTAGGATGTGAGTAAGACAGCGGTGTCTGTTGCACAGTAGATCGTCTCGGACACTTTGTCGACCCTAACAAACGATCAACAAGGAACAAGCGGCAGAGAGAGACCCCACCTCGACTGAATTCATTAGAAAATGTCGGGTCCGCTATCCACTGCCTCCAGTGTAGCGTCCGAGGCTTCCAATTGGGTGAAAGAAGGCACAAGTGAAGTTGAATACATGTATTCCGAAGACGACAGGGCAAATAGAGCCTGAGCGTGGCCCGAGGGATAGTCCACATGTACAGGGACTAAACAATTCTTAAAATGACTGCCAAACGTCCATATGTCACATTCGCAAAGCATTACACATCCAACTATTGGGTTTTGTAAGTCACTTGACTTCTCTCCTGCAGAGACAATTTAATACACAATATATATAAACTATTTTTCCTACTTTTGTACGCGTCGACTGGACTTCGACACAATCCAATGCCCAAGCTCTCCCCTTCTTACTCGAGTACATGCATTCAGCTTTGCGTAGTGCCTATTCTTCATCGCTAAAACATGTATTTGACGAAGAGAGCAAAGGGATTGAATCTGGGCTTGGTCCGAAAATCCACTCACACATACAAGTATCAAATGGTTCTTATGGAACCGCAAGACTAAATGTGGACACTAATCTATACTAGTGTGCTTAAGTTTGCTTCTGTTGGGAAAGGAAAGAAATCAGATCGAACACCAATGCAGTGCGTAAGGAGTATTGAAGTTCCTTCCTAGACTGACATATGCTTCTCACATCATCCTTCTTTCCCATTCCCTTTCTTTCTGTACACGATGCTAAATAAAGCTTCTGCAACTAACCCTCTGCTAAAGTTTGAGGTTCAGAGAGCCGAGGATAAGTGAGCTAGTACTGTAAGAACTGCCTGCCTACCTCCGTGCTCCTGAACCTCGAATTTTAAGACAGGGTTGTTGTGGTAAATTTATTGGGCATTTAGTACAGAAAGAACGAGGATAGGAGCATAGATGAGCTGGATAGCAAATATCACCCGAGTAGGGAATCCTCACGATTCTTACGCACCAGACTTGCGTCCCAATTGACTTCCCGCCTCTCCCTATAAAGGCAGACTTCAACACTAGTATGTATTACAGTTACTACAAACACATCAAACAAAATAGTAAGAAAAAACGTTAAAAAAGTTGCTCAACTTTTAGCATACAAGTTTTCCTGTATCAAATTGGGTTTCGGTTTAAGTGTCAAATTATTTGTTTCTAGAAATTCTCTTCTAGGGATAAAAGACTAATGATTTGGAAAGTATTTGCTCAATTAAGTTTGTGTAGTATAAGTGTTAGTCTTGTTATCTTATTATATTATGCCACTAAGTATTGCCATTCATAAAAGGTGCAAAATGATGCGGTTGTTTGAATGCACTACTAAGGATAAAGTTGGGCCTATCCTAGGGCGGTCTGGCGTTGGCATTGGTCTGTCCACTTCAGCCTGGGTTTGGTCTCCCATTGTTAGGACATAATGGGTAGCGAGGATCATGCTTCTAGTTCGGCACTTGGAGATTCTGGACCTCTTCTTGTCCACAAGTTCGTCCCTTCGCGTCCCAAAGTTGAATTGCTTGAAGGGCTTCCTGATCCAATCATCTAGTATGTCCTTTTATCCGGTAATTTTGTAGCAATGTTGTTTCATCGGTCGATCTGGCCTGTCCAATTGAATTGAGGAAAGTTGTCATGTACATCAGAAATGCCGAATATAATCCACGACGCTTTACCGGATGTGTTATCAGACTCAGGGAGCCGCGAGTAACATGTCTCCTTTTTAGCACAGGAAAAATGGTTACAACAGGTGGCAGGTCAGAAGAATCGAATAATTTGGGTGCCAGGAAATGTGCTCGTGTGATACAAAAGCTGGGTTTCCCTGTAGGCTCACTATCTTTCTTGATTACCCCTTAAATGGCTTCGCAGGTCCAGTTCAATAATTTTCGGATCCAAAACGTCGTTGGAATAGTCGATCTGAAGTTTCCCATCCGTCTTGAGGGTCTACTTATGGCAAATGAACAGATGTCGCAGTAAGTTATGTAATTTCTTATGTTTAACTTGCCAGTTCATATCATTTACGGAACATTTCTTTCGGTTTTAGGTATGAACCGGAAATTTTCCCTGGTCTTATTTATCGAATCATTAATCCAAAATTGGTATTTCTTATTTTCGTAAACGGGAAAGTAATCATCACCGGTAGGAAACTTTTAGTATCGTTAACACGTCTTTCCGTCCTTTTATGTACTTTGAGATGATATGCCTTTTCACGTGGCGCACTGATTTATTAGGTTTCTTTAGAATTGATTGTACATTTGCAAGTTTTGAAGAATTGGTTAACGGTTTCGGCTTTATATCTGGTCCAGAACTCATGTGGGCTGCTTAAACCTTAAGTGGATACTTTCTGCCTACTGTGTCACATCGCTCTTGTGCTGTGCTTTAGATTTCATTAACCTCTCAATTTTAGGTGCAAAGTCAGTTGAATTAGTTTACGAGGCATTGAATAAAGTGTTTCCAGTCTTGAGAAACTTCAGAAAAATGGCTTGACTCCTTTCGTTGCATTATCCTCCACATCATCCTTACGCTACCTTTACCGCGAGCTGGATGGTTATTTTGTGATAAATGTTATCTCAGGTTAAAGGGAACAATACAGCCTTCATAAGGAATGGAATGGTGGCCTTTATCACCTTCGAGAGGTTTGAAGTCCTTGGTAATAATGATGTCATTTTTGTGTTCCCTTCCCTTGCAAAGATATATTCATACTTACATCTGTACGTATTTATGCTTGTTGCTCTCAGATAAATATACAAAACGGTATGACTCGCCGTGCTATTTTTTCTGGGATCGAGTTGTCTGCTCTAGTGGCTCAGGTTTCCATGCTTATAGTGATATGATAAATTCTAGCGATGCTTGGCTACTACACAGAGGCGGAACTTCCGGCGGCTTTAGGCGTCGAAGCAGCCGTCACAACTTCCATAATTTGCCAACACAACGCGTTCGAATTACTCATCCGCGATCAAGCTTCCATTTTTGAAGGTTGACCATTATCACAGCTGTCCGAGACTCGGGGTATAATGGTGGGATATCCCTATGTAGCAGGCCGATAGAGAGGGGGATTCAGCCATTTGTCGAGTTGGGGTCCGCGCAAAGGAGATGCGCTCCTCAGGTACCGAGATACCATACACTGACTAGACCCTCACGTTTCCAAATGCGTACAGGCTGTGGAATAACGATCCCTCCTGCCGTCCTTTGTCCAACAGGGGAGTAGCATTGATGATGTTTCTGTGCTTAGAGAGTCTGGGGAAGCATTTATGATCGTACGAAGGCATTTACAGGCTGTGTGTAATAGTCAGAACTCTTACAACGGACATCTGAAGTAATGTTTGCCAAGAAGGCGATTTTGTGAAAATGCATATATTGATCCCACTATTGGAAACAAAAGAATTCACAGTCTTCCCCACCAACAGCCTCGTCTAAAATGCGTAATATCAGATGCCAACGATGCCAGGACGTGTACAGGCAACGTATTCTTCTCCCATTCAGGTCGATTATAATGACAAAATCTAAGTTTTGACAGAATACTATCCGTCAGCATAGAGACAAATCTGGTAACTAAAAGTGGGGGCAATGCTAGTACACGCCAGTTGTTTAATTGCACTTTACAAGGCGGCGAAAATTCAATCCGAACGCCTAGGATAAAATCTCTAATGGGGACGAAGAATAACCGTTTCTGCCACATTCATTTATTCTACTGCACTACGTTCATAACATTTGTGCTACTACATCCATTAAAGCACAGCAAATACATACCGAAGAATATTGTAAGGAGGACAAGAGGTTACGTATGCAGATATGGTACATGAATTATTGGGATACTCCTAACAGGTCAGAGGGGGGACCCATGTCCTGACGGCATGCTGGCTGAGCCAGTTGTCTTGACCGAAAGGCAGACATAAATGACGTGGCATTTTCTACAATAAGCTGTCCTCCGTACTTTCAACGCTAGTGCTTGATACAGAGTACCAAAGAAGACAGGAATGCTAAGACTACAAAGTGATCAATTTTGTCCTTTTGTCTTCCTTTACATCATGGCCCTTTGTCCGTTCTTATTGTGTTAAACACACAATCCTGAAAGTAATCGCAAATAAATACTGCTTACTCATTAATTTTACATTATTCATGTGACATGAAATCTGTGGGACTTTGGCAAAAATATGTTTATTATATGTTTATTATTATCTGCATTATTTCATTCTCGTCCAATTTTGTTTGAGTTGTTGCTGTGACTAGTTGGCTCCGCTCTTGTGCGCAGCACGAGTGATGGTAAGTTACTCTCGTCTTATTCCTCTTCGCGGACGTAGGCGAAGCGCACCAAAAAAGTTGGTATCGTCGGTAAATATGGTACGCGCTACGGTGCTTCATTAAGAAAGACCGTGAAGAAGATTGAAGTCAGTCAGCACTCCACATACAATTGCAATTTTTGTGGAAAGGTAACGCTTTCTGTTTGTGCTCTTATGTTCTTAGGAGGCTTTAAGGCGTAAGGCTGCTGGCATATGGGCGTGTAAACGCTGTGGGAAACAGATAGCCGGTGGAGCCTATGTTTGCAGTACAACAGCTGCTGCTACCACTCGCGCAGCTATCCGTCGTCTTCGTGAGACTCTTAAGGCGTGAAGTGTTTACATAATACACTCTCTTGGTAATGTGGCCTACAGTTTACTTCTCTTGTCCCTTTTTACTATTGTCGCTTCAACTTGGTAATCAGTAGATGGGATGAGATCCTTTAAATTTAATGTCTAGGTCGTTCATGTTTATTCGCTTTTGTCTGTGGATGGGATGGTTTGCGTACAGTTGAAGTCTGCTATGCTTCTGATGTGTGAACTGTGGAGCACGGCGATCCCCATTGCGTGAATCGGCCTTGACTTGTCACCTACACTGTTTATGGTCGATTTTGAGCCGAACATCGAATCTCCACTCCATTCGCGTATAGCGACAGTGTCCGTTCTTCACTAGCGTTTTGGTGACTGTACGCGTGGACTTGTTGACGAGAATAACAGTCGCCTAAGCTAATTGATAGTTGAAGTTTGAGGAGTTTGTTGCTGCATCGTCGCTGCTTGGTAGTGCCGCTCACTACTAGCTGGCGGAGCGCAAATGTCTGTCTGTATGGACATGGCGTTCCGGGTGCTGATTTCCAGCTGCACGCGTTCCCTATATCTAGCATTTCAATTCCTGATGCCCATGATAGCACGCACCTCATCTAAAATAGGTGCAAGGTAAAGGGACGGTAAAACGGGATCAGTAGGGGCCCGGACTCCTCTACTCTAGTCCTGAGATTGATTTATGACTCCTGGTGCAAGCCTCGTTTCTCCAACAAATTTAGGGACGCTAAGATTGTTGAAATAGACAATTCGTGAGAATAATAAAATCAATAGTAATAATCAAGGTTGCAAGGGTGGTTAAAATTTAGTTGAGGATAGTGCGCTCATTGAAGACGCGCTCTCGTTGGGCTTCAATGCGACCCTTCCAGCGAGATTGGTGTTCACGAGCGCGACTAACAACCGCGTTTGCACCTCTCCGTCCTACCACGTCCCTCGATCCCGAGGCCTCTTCATCACTGACTCCCTCCACACCTGAGGGACGTCAAATAAAAATCCAGTAATTGCAAAGGATTTGTGCCTCGTCATGGGTGGGAAAGAGGGTATAGGTGCGCAGGAAATGGACAGAATCTGTCAGACAAATTTGAGAAAGTACTTACGAAGATCGCCAAAGCCACTGGCTCTTTGAGACGGTAACACGTAGCTGCGAACTGAGCGTATGGCTTTGGGTGGCAAAAATAAGTTTGGTTGAGCAGAATCTAGCGGGGTTTTGCGGCCGCGCGATGCGAAGATAGGTTCCAAAATAAGCATGAACACAAGGTAGAGTGAGAGGGTCGAGAGGATGACAACAATCAATATTACAACAACCTACAACGGTTAGGGGAAAAGCATCGCACACCTTGATGGTTGTAGTGTTCCGAACCTGGTATTTACAATCGCAATAGGGACAGAGATCGGATTTGTCTTCCAGCATTATGGGACAGGTGCTAAAATTCATCACTGATAAGCGTTTATACCATTTATCAGATGAAATTGATTTAACATAAACTGATCGTTTTGGTTCCGCTGATGACTCGTTCGATACTTTTGGAACGGAGTGATCGACACAAACGCATTTACACCTTGCATCTTCATAAACTCCCCCTACATTAGTGACAAAAAAGACCACAGCCACCCATAAGAAGCTCCTCAACATCTTCAAACTGAGCCGGAAACTTATGAACAACTAAAACAAGCGAACGCACAATGCGCATTAAAATTGTGTCTACTTCGTTAGGTCACAGTTTATAAGGTATACTAAACTAATCCGTATTTTTAAAAATGTTTACAGTATTATTGAATTATGCTGCTTAGTTATTGGTGTTTAACTTGGTTTGATGCAGAGGAAGTTGGCTCAAAATATGGGCTGCGTAATATGTCTTTTTATTCATTAGCTCATTTGTTTTAGTTTATAATTTTCAGATCAAGTTGTATTTTATATGAAACACTACACATTATAAGGGTCCTATAGAGGGTTAAAATATCAAATTTATTATTTGAGGCTACATTGCGGGCCTGTTTTATTGAAGGACTTACTACAATTTAAATAGTTAGCAGTGGTTTCATTGACTGTAATATCGTACATGATAGTAATGGACTTTTGTAAGTAATATCAAGACGGATGACAGTGTTTCCAACCGGCTAGAGGGGCTAGAAAATTACTCGCAGTTGATAAGATAGTTTGCCACTCATGATTTAATTGCAGTAATCGCATGTATCATAAATTTTCACGGTGGTTATATGGGGCATTATTCACGGTTGAAACGGGTAAATATCTGGTTACAAAATTACGATTCCAAGAATAGCGCGATATCAGGCGGATATGTCTGGACCTTTGGGTCAATACACACACCTGTGTCTCTTCGATTAAATATGAGTTCATCATTTCTTCCTGCATGTGTATCTTCACTGGAGGGAAGAAAATGTCGGAGCTGCCTGCCTACCCTCTTGCCCTTGAACCTCGAACTTCAAGAGAGGTTTGCTTGCAGATGATTTATTTGACATTTGTTGCAGGAAGAATGGGGATTAGGATGCAGATGAGCCGAATAGGAGACATCAATTGGAGAGAAACGCATCACCGTCTTTGTGCACGTGGTTCGCGTTCCCAATTGGTTCCTGCCTCTCTCCTATAAAAGTTCGCTTAAACAAACCCGTATATATTACAGAAACGATGCTTAAATGCACAGAATATTTAGCCACTTCATTTTGCTTACTTATGCTGAGATCAGCTATAAGCTTGCTTGATGTAGGGACAAGTGGGAGACTTCTTCGGATTCCGGTACCTTAAACTGGTGCAATTATATGGACCAATGTATCCCACTGATCCATTAAGTCATAAACAAACTGTTTGCGTTCAACTGCTAATTTTCCAGCTTTTACACTCTCTGGTGCACCACGCATCTACTCTACAAAGTTGCTGTTAGATTAATTCTTTGTTTTGTTTATGAGTTTATGGTGTCTTATTTTGTCATTCGTCTTCGGCAGACGGTCCCAATTTGAGGTCATACCAATGCTTTGCAGTTGCTTTATTGCCCAAAACGTTGAACCCTTCTGGATTTTCTCATTTCACACTTTGATGATGTGCTTGCACAAAGTCGTTTCCTTTAGCTAGCGCGGGAAAATGCGCAACACCTAATGCAGTAGTCATTTTAATGGACAAAAATAAACTTGCACTGAATGTTACACTTTATGTATGCAAATGCATTGCTTCCTTAGCACCATTTGAATAGATTTAAACCCGTTCCCAAATTATGGAATCTAGCTTTCAACCCAATAAATTATGCAAAAGGATGGCGGGTTCGGTAGTGTGATGCGAGTACGAATTGCTAAGCGCAGGAGATAATTGGCTTCCCAATGTGATAAGCATAGAAGATATGGGAAACCCCCATCAGCACCAGATATAAAGAGGGCGATAAGGGAGACGATCAAACGGGAATCGTATAGCAAGCCACCTTGAGGGTGACTATGTTCTAATGTGAACACACAAAACCACACCTGGAGTTGCCGTTATGCAGATAGCTCCCGACGGTCCACAATAAGCAGTGTCTGAATCTATACCTGTAAAAATTCAATGCAAAAGGTAAACTGAGCACTTCTGTGTCATATTCGGTGGAAATTTTGTACGATTCTCTTTATACCTGTTGCTTAGACCTGCCAACACTCCGAACAGATTTATTCCGCTCAAGTCGCATCGATGCATCAAAGGGACAGAACAGTGCGAATGGAGTTAATTATGTTTTCATCGGAACGGTGGCCGTCATTTCTGCTGCACAGGTTCTTCCAGCTTAGTGGAAGCGACGCAAAACCGACCAATAAATGCCTGAAATGGACGCTGATATGTGTAAACATTCGCTTAAAATTTTAAATGAATGACTCTGTAGTCATACTTTAGATCGTTTGCTAATTTAGAGCGATCTCATGTCAATCATAACCACCCTATTTATAAAAGAACAAATGAATTTAAAGAGGCAGCCAACTTAGGACTGCACTCGGCAAAACTCTTGGTCTAACACTGCCATTGATTTGGCTTCAGAAATAATTTCCAAAAGCACTATTTTGTTTCAACAACAGTAATTTAGTCAGATTTAAGAGCTTGAAAAGGGTTAAATAAGTGGGAAGTCACAAAAATTTTTTTCATCTTCTTCCACAGAACGAGAAAATCATTGTGTGTTAGCAAATATTTGAAGCGAAATTCCATCCACTATCACCATTTAGCATTTAAAGGGCTGAGTTTAATTGCCATGGGAGGCGCTAAATTCTGTTGTGCCAACAAGACGAAGTTTAAGCATTTAAACTTCCAAAACTGGGCTCTTTGGATGGTATAGACGATTAAACCGTCTCCTAAAATAGATTCCGCCCACAAAAGTTTTTAAATAGGTTTAAATAGCACTTCCGATAACCGGAAGTGTCCTAAGGCGGGGTATAAGAAGAAGTGTTGTTGCTTGTCCCACTGTGACTCGAATTTGACCACCATGTCCCGGACATTCCACGCGTCATTGGAGGCCGTAATATTGGTACTCTTTGTGATCTCCGTACTCAATTCGGGCTACTGTCGAGGTGAGCTCGTAACTCTCTACCGCTAAAATGCAAGCAAAATGTAAGCGTTATTGTTTTGCCTTCGGTTACTTATAACACATTAGTAAGGTGTCTCATGCAGGGAATATTATTTTAAAAAGAGCAATTGTCTTTTGTAGGTAAAATGAGTTACATAAACCGATGCAATCTACCCATCAGTTCGGGACGATGTCGGGGCTACTTTCTGCGCTATGGTTACGACTCCGAAACAGATGAATGCCGTCCGTTTGTCTACAGTGGATGCCGCGGGAACCGAAATAACTTCTTCACCTACAACGAGTGCATGAATCGATGCTTCATGAGGTTCAAATAAAAGTGCCATTTCTATCTGACAATCAAATTCTGCCATATTATACAACATTTTCACATAAATGCGTTTGAGTCAATAAAGGACTATGAGAAATCAAGAGAAAACCTCGTTACTGTGGGTGCACGAACAAAGGGAATCAAGAAAACTCAAAAAAAAAACAAAGTCTGAGGAAAACTCAAACCTTTATGGCGTTAACTGGACCAAAGCTTTCCCCTTCAAAATGACTGTGGCGTAGACCAGTTTTTTTTATATAAGTCGTGTGAAAGAGAAATATAGTTGCACGAATAGAAAAAATTAAACCGCGATTTTCAAAACAAAATGGGCCGAGAAAGACCACAAGACAGAGGAAGTGCTTATTTATTGCTTTAAAATGGATAAGACTTTCTAGACCGTGTAGCAAAGTGCTCAAATGTCATGCAACCTCTGCAGACAGAGTTGTTGATGCAGCATTTTCGGTTTAGAAAGCTTCCTAAAAATACCGGACGTCATGTTTTGAAAAGGACAGATTTTTAGTTATTTGAGGGTAACCACGTGAATCATTAAAATAAGACAAAGCAGTGCAGTTGTTTTCAGCTTTACAAGTCTTCGATGTCAAAGCACTTTGCTAATCTAGATGAGACTACTGACTTTTCCGATCAGCATTTTAAATGCTGTAAGGACGAGATTACTCAGGGTATTCTGACTGCTGAATAAATAGGGCTGTTTTGTTTTGTTTTTATTTTAAACTCACGCGATATGATTGTACAATGAACAAGTAACAAGTTCCCCAAAAGAATAATTAGCAGCTCTTTGAAGAAATTACATTTTTCATTTTCATTCAAGTCAGTAGACTGGGGCTTCCCTTGTAGAACGTAGTCGATTAGGAGCACCACTTTCGACCTCATAATTTGGACGGTTATATGGTCACTTCCCGTTAAACTTTTAACAAACTAACGATTGGTAGTGAAGCGCTCCAGAGTTTGGACTTTGAGGACTGGTTATGTAAAAGTGGGGTCGTGGACGAATTCCTTTCACTCGAGGATCACCATTTTGTCAAACACCAAATTCATTAATAGTACGGAAATACGGATGTTCTCGCTGGTGATGGGAGACTAAAATAGGACGTTTGTCCCAACAGCTTCTCTTTTCAAATAGGATTTGTCACACAGGCCCTAAAAATCTTCGAGACATGGACTAAGGGAAAGGCAAATGGAGAATGACAGTCAGTAGTCGCTTATTTCTATGACGAGAGCAGTTCTCGTAATGCTTTGTTTTTTCGAAGACCGACTTCAGTTGTGGATGAGCTGGGTGACAACAGCCTTAATCTCATCTCGACTGTCCAGTATACAAAGTTAGTCTGTCCTTCGCCTTCAATGAAGTTGTCATAGTTCTTCCAATGCCTTCCGCCACTTTTCGGGTGCCACTCTCGAAAGGCACCTCGTTAAATTTGAATGCGTGTCAAGAAATCAAAGTGTTCTCACAGGCGCTGTGTAAAAGCGAATAAGAGGCGAGGATTGACCTGAAGGACTACATTGCATTTCGGTTTCGCCTACTTCCAATGCTATTGTGATACGTGACTGTTGGAGCGGAAGTGTCAACCTCTGTGCCTAAATATACATCCTTTGACTACTTTTTTTTGCATTTCGGAGGACAAAATAAGGCGCCGCACCTTTTTGTGCTTCGAATCGGATGCAGGCTGTACTTCTGCAGGCCTTCGGTCTTACGAACAATGCGGTACGCCTTGTTTAAATTAAAGTGCTACTTAAAAATTAGGTGATCGCCAAGACGTTTTTTTTGTTTCTTCACTAAAAATTACAAAACTTTTCCCCAAAGTTATCGAATTTTCACAGAGACTTAGTGATTGTACAGTAAAATTAGTTGTTGTTGTTGTTGTTAGTTGTTGTTGTTCCTCAAATGTCCTCACAGGGAGTGGAGATGGAGGTGATGAAAGGTAAGAAAACCTCGTTTTAGACGCTTGACAAGCATGAAGAAAATTTGTAAAATTGAAAGGCGAATTACTTATAATTTGGCGCATGATGCCTAGCGTCCTTTTTCCTCTTCGAGCACTGGCAGTTTTTTATTTATGGAGAGAGGATGCAGTCGTAGCTGTAATTGATGCATTTTTTGGCACGGCCGTTTCAAATTAAGTGAAGCTGAGATGCGAATTTAAGACGCCAGCGGCTCGCCCGAAGGGAGGCACGAGGTGGTGTTGGGGGTGGCTTTTTGCACTAATCACTGCCTTGACGACCGACAGCTCCTGTGTCTTGCTGGAAAGGAACATCTGCCAACATACTGCCATTCCATCTTAACACACTCAATTAAAAATGACCTCCAAATTTGTGACCAGTCATGAAGTAGGCAGATTTTTGGATTTTTATCGAGTACGTTTGCAACAAGCCTTAAAATTATGTCGTCAAAAAAAGTATTTATGAACCAGGCAGAAGTTGCTCAAACTTGTAGAACTTTGTAAAAAACCTATTAATTGTCAAAGTCAAAGCTACTGACTAAGCATCTCTAACCGAGTGAGCAGTTGAATTAAATGTGAGCGAAGTAACAACTTTACTTTTGCTTTGCCATTGTCTCAAACAAGCATTTCAGCTCGACGACATTGTGCTTGTCTCTTGGGCTATCCCGGAGACACCACATGGTTGACTGATTCTCTCGTCAGTGTCATTTGCACATCCTAACTGAAATGAAACAAGCGCAAGTCAACATGATCGCGAGGCTGTCACAAACGTGCGCACTGTCAATTTGCAAACCCTGGTGGGAAGTGAAGGGGTGTCGCACGTATAACCATTAATCTCGACCATAATTCCCAACTAACTACATTCGAACTTCACCATTTTAAAGTGCATAGTGAAGTATTAAGAAGTCATAAAATTCGTGAAGACGGTTGCGATCTAAGCGCACAGGCAGGCTAAGGGAGATCGCTGACCTGTGCGAAAATCGGGCCGTTACACCGAAGCGACTGCTTAGGGCATTAAATTTACCCTAACTGGGATGCTGTGAAAGCAGTTAATCAGAAGTGCTGCATTGACTACGCTGAGTAGGAAACAAGACCTCCAACAACTTCCCTCAAACACTGAGTCTGCCTTTTAGGAGCTCACTTGCGTGGCAAATGTCACAATACATGAGTCCCACTGTTAATCTATTTCCTAGCAGCAATCAAAGCGCTTTCGACGTCGAAACTATGGGGAAGGCGCAGCATGGAAAACTCTCACTTAGACAAATTATAGTATCACAATAACTTGTTGTTAACAAGCACTACATCAGGGAAGAGAATTGGCTGATTTCCTTAATGGTTAGCAGTAGGTTCAGTGTTGTTTTACGTTCCTCTAAATAGACACAAACAATATTTCGGCTAAAAGAGACCTTCAATAACTGAGGGAAACGCCAATAGTCAAGCGAAATAAGGCTTCGAGATCAGTAAAAGGATGAAGTAAATGTGTTTGCTCCAGGGTGCTTCCACTTCAATCCCTTTCAGAGGCTGAAAATAAAGTTGCTTTCGATGAGAAGAACCTTCTACTTCCCATTGCCCTTTAGCCCTAAACTTGGGGGTGGCTTTTTTCTAACCGCGTCAGTATGCATAATAGAATAATAGTTATTCCTATTCATGAGTCTTGATGATGCAAATCTCTGTGCAGAGGTGCCTTACTGTGCCTACTACGGGTAAAGACGTCTTACTTTGAGCGTAAGCGCTCAGGACTTTCCAAGTGAGGCAGCACTTAATCTTCTCCCTTTACCAAGCAACGTTAATTCAAGCTTTGGAACTTAGAGCCGAGCATGCACACAAGACAATAACTTCATTTCCAAACACCGAAAGGACAAGGAGGAAGGGAGAGGGTAAAGAGGCATTTAGGCCGAAACAGCGCATAGTCTGTGTAAACAGCACCACGTGACCTGGGATGGAGGGCGGAAGTGGTGTCTTCACCTCGCCACTGATTGGTCCTTTGAGATACAATAAAAGGTACCAATCCTCGGAAGAGGGACAGTTTTTCCTCGTACGAAGCATGCTTCTTCAAGTGACTCATTGGCTTCTCTACCTTCTCTTCATTCGTTTTGCTTCGTCTTTAGCGAGTTTTGGTGAGTAAATTTAAAGATATTGCAGTATTCCTCTAGATAGACCTTTTCAAGCTCAGTTTCCATCCTGCTATTAAAATATGATTCAAGGCATTCATCCCTACTTATTTGTGCTTGAAACTACAAACTTGACAGATTTCTTTCAAAATGTCGATCGAAGTTGGTGCGGTTTAATATGATTGAAAGTTTACCTCATCAACCACAAAATGGTTTTACTTTTCTCCTAGCAAATAGAAAAAATTCGATAGAAGACTATCATCAGACGCGCGGAGGAAGTCAAGCATTCGTTGAAAAGCCCCGCTGGTTCCCACTTAGGGCAGTTAAAATGCAATAGCCTCATGCTAGACCAAGAGAGAATGATGAACATTTAAATGGACTTAAAAAAACTCTGGATGGTGCCGCATTCGATCGTTACAGGTGTTAAAGTAGGAGAAGATGTTGAAGTCTGTGATGCGGTTTATTTGTAGAGGTTCCGCCAATATGCAGGCCCCAGCTGCAGACCGCAAACTGCTGGTACTATCGTCCAAACTACGTTTACAATCATCTCCTTGATCAGTGCATTTGGAGTGGATGGAGTTCATGCAACTCAAAGATGAACAGTTTCAGAACCCGTCGGGAATGCGAGACGATCTGCCTTGGTAGTCGCCGGCGCAGCGGTTCGAGACGGCGGGAACACAATGAATACCACTCCCCAGGCTTCTACGAGGAGGTCGTCCCACGAAAGAGGTATTGGCCCTACGAGGAGCACTCAATCGACTAATCTAACGTGTCATCTGCGCTCCACTTCACACAAGACCGAGCTCGCTACAAGAAATGGACCAATTAGTTCGGTATGCAAGTGAATGCATTCACACACTCATATACATTAGAACAGTGACAGCAAGCACACAAAACAAATGATATATATAGCATTTAACGGATTCACTCGGCACTATAAATCATTTTAACCTCTCGTTCTCATGCCTGCTACTGCGAGGCGATGAAGAGTGCGAATGGAATGCTGCCCAAATACCATTTAATTGCCCTGTTGCATGAGGCAATACCTTCAACGACGGTAAACTAGCACCTCAGACAGTGCTAAATGCCAACTTTACTGCTCCATTTTTGCGGCATAATGGGGTAATAAAAACTCGAAATTATGGGTAAATGGGTGAATTAAATTGCCAATTTATTAAAATTGTTTTGTGTCTACATGGCTACTCTGAAATAATTCAAACAGACCTTAGTAGACAAGGCCATAGAAGTAAGAGTTTCACGCACTGAAAAAGTGATGCAATGAGAAGCGAAAAAAGAAGTTTTCTAGCCTTAAAATTTAGTTGGTAGCCGAAAAGCAATTGTTTCAGCATGGTGATGGGAATCGTTACAGCCTTACATCACTCCTACCACAGGCGACACGGTGCGACTTCATACTGTAGCTCCTTTTTTGCAGAAGAATAAAAATTTAACCACTGATTTCACAAGGGGTTAGGCAACACCGCCATTCAGGAAAAAACAATCAAAACAAAGCAACGACCTCCACTTGTCACTGTCAAGAAACACCACTGCACCGATTGTAGATTCTGGGCGATGGGACCCTTGGCAAGGGCTATAAGTGGTAATAGAATGGAAAATATAAGACAGCAACTAACTTTACCAGTGCACGGACAAGGGAATTTATATGCCAAATCGGAGCAGAACAAACGACTGGCATGCAGATGCATTCAAGCCGCTGTGATCTCAAAATTTCCTCTGGGTCGAATGCTAACCTATGAGTAGAATGAAAGGCAGGAAAAAAGCACCGTAATACAGCCACCAAACTTCAGCTCATAACTCAGTAGAGCATCGTCGTTTTGTGCACAGATTTACTTGACTTTATGTTAAACAAATAAATAAGTAATTCAAACGCAAGGTCTCAAAGTGCTCAAGGTGCATAGATCAAGAGCCACTCATGACGCCCTGCACCAGAAATGACTGCCACGCAGCTATTGAGATGTCTTGGAGAGACGAGCATCCATTTACCTTCGTCATTATCGCCGATTCGTTGTTTAGAGATTTGCGTTGTGGAGCGAGAAGCTGTCAGCACTTGAGGATGGTATTTTCTTAACACGTCGGATAATTTTGTTGTGATGCTAACCTTCCACCTATCAAAGGTGTGTTCTGTCACAAGTAAGTAGCTTGTTTTGTAGAGCTAAGCCCCAAAACGCCCTCTCAATCACCAAGGCTTGGACCAGTAGTCTGAATCTGGGATCCAATGGACAATGCAGCTAATAACTCCTTTGCAGAAAAGTTGGTACAGTAAACTACCCAAAACACCGTTCACTGAGATACCAAGATTGGAAGGGAGTGATATTAGGTATGAAGGAATATTTGATCGTTCTATCAGTGGATGTGGAGGAGTTGACTTGGAGTAGATAGACTTGAAACACAATTGACGTAAGAGCATGGGAATTTGATAGTGAAATATTTGGAAAATGTTTTTATCAACGGCGTTTTAAAGGAACTTCAGAAGGGCCTTTTATCCACCTCGGCCACTGAAAACACTCTTCCTCACTTGCAAATTATCACCTACACAGCAACCTCCATCTCGACTACATTCGTCTACCTCTTTGGCGCCAGCAACAGTGCAGGTATTATGAGGAGAGGTTCAAGCAAAAACACCCACTAGCCCCCAATTCCTTTGGAGTTGGCAATCCGCAGCCCCAAATTTTATCCGATTGTCACGTGACCAACGAACAACCAAGCAAGCGCAGTTTTGCGGGAAAGCTTTTGTGTGTGTCTTGAAAGCGTGGGACAATGAGTGGAATGCTTGGAGAGAACCAGTCAAGCCTAATACAGAGTTGAAAAGTATTCCTCTTGGCAAGTCAGTGATTCAATCAGTCGACAAACGATTCCAGGAATTCCACATGTGCCTAGCAGTAAAGTGCCATTAGCACCTAGTTCGTCTGTGGAGATCATTGTCGGTTGTTTAAGGGAGTGGATGTAGCTCTGAAGCTAAGCGAAATGATGAATCATTGCAGTAGAAAGCTCAATAAATATCACCTACACGTCAATTGGGAAAAGAGGAGAAGTCTAGGAGCCCCTAAACAAAAGCTAGAGGCTGAACTTAGTCAGCCGCTCACGCCAAAAGGCTTGAAATAGGGACGAGGAATATGATAGAGTCCACCATGGTTGCCTGTCAGTAGGCAGTCGGGCATGTCTGTGACGCGATCAGATAAAAGGCGTGCATTTTACAACCTCCTGCTTGCAAAGTGAAGGCTGTGTCGAAAAATGGCAAATGCTTTGAGCAATCTGGTTGAACGCTTGTAAGACACTTCCTTTGCAGACCCAAATACTCATTTTAGTTTGCATACTAAAGTTCCGCATTTATTAATTGTGGTGTTCGAAGAACCACCGCAAAGGTGAGAGGAAGAAGAAGTCTATAACACCCTTCTTAGCATAGTCGTGCCAACTGGGTTTTCCAAACACAAACTAAAGGCGAAAAACAGGGCTTCCAAGCCCCTCAAGGCGGTGGCCATAATGGCGGGAGGGAAGCGTATTCAGGTCATGCGAAATAAACAGCCATGCCAGCGGTGGGAATGTGCCCTTGCGGCGGAGTGAATGCAGGTGTGGATTTGATATAACGACGTCGTCGGAAAGCGTGTCGCAAAGAACGATGCGTCTACAGCGAATGCTCAGCTCACGAACTGCCCCTCACTAACCAATCGCCGTAACACCTTCAGCACGAAACGTCTCTATGCTCGTACGCATATGTACACATGCACATATATGTGCATAAATGTGTAAAAATGACAAACGCCATCTAGTCTACGTTTGAGTTTGCCTTCACAACAGTAAGTTGCTCTGTTTTCCCTTTGTTATTTTGTCCTAAATCAGTTACTTTCTTGTCTAAAATGAATCTGCCCCCACAGACTACCATTTGTCGGAGTTTTGAGTGCATAATCAGCACTCCAGACAAAATTTTCTCCATCAGTTGATGTTATGCAAATCTTGCAAAGTTGTTTGGCGCGACAGTGGGAAAAACACGACCTCTTTAGTGTAGAGCGCGGCTGCTTGCAGAAAAACGTGCTTACATGCACTGCAACAAGGGACGTAACAAAAGTGACAAAGTCGATTGACACTTTAAGGCGAAACATCATTGAGTTAAATTGGTGGGTTCTAGATGATAATCTTGTTGCCGATGCCGGGTAACATTTTGGAGGCGGCTTTAGTTGGATTAAAGCAGCACTGCAAAGACTGAGCCAAGTAGTGCATGTATGTCGTAGACTGGTTTAGACGATTAAATGCGCAACCTTAGGTGCCACCGCTGTGGTGACCACAACATGTGGGGGTCGACCAGTGTCACCATTACTAAGGCGAAGGAAAATTATAAAAGGAAAAAGGATGCATTCCATAAACTATTGTTTATCACAGACAATAACTTCAAGGAAGACTGCAACAAATGCAATTGCATGAGATTCACTGCTCAACTGCTCTTGCTTGTGCTGAATGCGGTATCTTCGATGTGTGCCATTCAAGAGTTCTATAAATTGTGATATTAAATTCAGCTTTTCAAATGCCAGAAATCAGAACAATTTAACATTTCGCTTATTCGAAGTTTGACTTCTTCATTCCTTGACTTAAGTGTCTCAAACGGGCGGGTGAATGCGGGTTGCCTTGGGTTAACAGTAAATTATATCCCCTTCTTTTCATTTGACAAAGACTCGTCCTTCCAGATATTCAGTTCGATGGTTCGTATACGAAGAAGTGCAGTCCCTAGAATCTGCATAGCAATTGCTTTTGCAGGAGCGCTTTTCCTACTGCCAACGAACGTGTCACGAAGGGACGATCGATGGCTCCACTTCTTTGCGGAGATATCATCATCTAATCACTTAAACTGCCTTTTATTCCGACAACGCTTCCCTGCAGTCACTCGACCTGACGGTGACATGAATGTTGCATTTACAATGGTGGTACATAAGGATGTTCTTCAGATCGCTCGGTTGCTGCGTATGATTTATCGGGTGAACAACTACTACTGCATACATTTGGACGCACGCTCGCCGCCGACTTTCCGTAATGCAATGAATGGTGTCGCGTCTTGCTTTGGATCAAATGTGGAATTAGTGCCTATAGAGAAGCGCGTCGCAGTGGAATGGGGTGATGAGTCAGTCTTGAGACCACAGCTAATCTGTGCTGAACAAGCGCTACAACGGGACGATACGTGGCATTACCTTGTCAACAAGAGTTTCAAGGTCGGTCAAGAGTTTCCCCTCAAAACTAATCTGGAATTGGTGGCTGCTCTAAAGGCGTTGAATGGCTCCAACCTAATCGAGGCCTTCCCAATCAAGAGATTCCAGGATTGGGTGGGAAATCGCACGCTACCACTGAACGTGAGTTTTGAAGATTTTCATCTTGTTAGTGCCACTCCACATTCTATCAACTGTTCTCTTAAAAACTTCCATTTAATCAATGCTCGGACATCTGACACTCCTTATTGAATAGGCAGAACAATCAAGACCGTGTGGGCATTCAAAATGTATAAAAAATGAAAGCATTAAATGTCTTGCAAGAAAGGCTACAAGGAGTTGCCGATCACTTTGAGATTTATTAAAGAACATGAAGCAAGCAAAGCACGAAAGTAATGCTTTAGCTTTCGATGGCATCCTCTCTTCAACTTTTCCTTCCACTGATTCTGTCAATCCTTACTAAGTGGAAGCTTTTGAGAAAATGTTTTCCTTTTTATGCAATTTATCATCAATTTTTAATGTCTCACTCAGTACAGTGCAGATCTTTATTAGGCAGGGTATGAGAAGTGAAATGTTACCAAAAATAATTTGAGAAATCTGACGCCCATCTTAACTGACAAGGTGAGCCTTGATATTTATGGCAGTCACACTCCGATGGGCTAGACCAGAAGGCATTGGAAAGTTTTAAAGATTTTTGTGTGATTTAGAATGGCACTAGGGGTCTTCCTATGCAAATCTATATATCTAGATTGAGTTTAGCTTTACTACTATACCCGGAAGTGTATCTACACCACGTTAAATCTCACTGTAAAATGTGTGAACACTTTGACTCAGTTTAGGATACGACCTTCCGCCTCGATTGGGAAGGAGGACCTTCAGGGTATCAAACTTGAACAAGCTCATGAATTTTAACGAAAAGAAATTATCACTTCATTTCTAACATCCCACGTACTGAACGCTCAATGGAGGAATGGTCGGCATGCTGCACACTGGAAATGGAACAGCTATGGGAAGAAACCTTGTGGAAACCCCTACGTCATCCTAAAAGGAACTCATCACTCGCTTAAGCATCTTGCCGCTGCTTCTGAGGTCTTTCATCATTGTGGACACCTCGCCCATAAGATCCTCTATTTCTCATGGCTTGTGATATCCGAACAAGCTCTCTGCTCATGCATTCTTGGATTGCCGCCCTGTTTCAAGAGATGTCGATTCGGTGTTGGCATAGTCATGCGATTGATGTACAAAATTACTGATGAGATTGTTGACGATTAGCATCTGCAAATTGAAGTCGTCAACTGTTTAATCATTTTAAATCGATCGTTTGGATTATTACCTTATTTCCACGGAATCACCAGCCGTGGTCACTGTAGAAAGTGCATTCAGAAACATTTAGCAGCATCAAACGCAACCACTGGAATAGTAAGAAAGGGTGGAAGTATTTCTGCCCGTGATTGGCACCAACGAGTCAAAGCGTACTCTGTCAATAGATGGACACAAATATCGAACAACTGATATTTCGTAACCATTCTTTAGGCCACCTGGTACAAGGGCACTGTCTACGGAGCATTTCGAAGAGACTTTTTGAATGAGGCAGTAAGGGGAAGAGCCATGGCTCCGATTCGAGAAACCCTCCTTCAGCACAAAGTGTTTGAGCACCCTGATGAGTTATTCTTTTCCACTCTCGCCTACAATCCTCATTTGCGACTACCAGGCTCCTGTCTGGTAGCTCCACCCCCGCTGTCGGAAGTAAACTTGGGTTTCCCTGCCAAGTTCGTTGTGTGGAGGGACTATGATATTGCCTGTCCCACGAAGTATGTCCGCTTCGTCTGCATCCTTGGTGCGCCGCACCTATCGCTACTGCGCAGTGTGCCGCATCTCTTCGCCAACAAATTTCATGCTGACTACCACCGCGAGGCCTACGATCGGATGGAGGAGTGGTACTTTGAAAAGCTTTCGAAAGAACTTGCCTCAGGCTCATACGCAAAAAACTCCTTCGACATCACTTTCTATGCAAATCGAACCTGCTCTCGCCATCACTTGTAAAAAGCTCCATATTTGCTCCCTTTTATTCCAACTGGGCCGGTTGAAAGCAATGTAGAGGATGACTAAACAGGCCGATTCTCAAACAAAACAGCAAATCGGTACTAGTGTCAGCAAAATGTTGTCATCAGTTGCCACGCTTTAAGGCTATATTCAACTTGTTCCTCTGTTCAATGTTGATGTGTGCAACGCTTCCGTAGATTCCGATAGTGGAATCGAAATGTGAGAAGCATTGGCATTGTTTGCGAATTTACTTAAGACGTACACGTTTGCCAAATAATGCTAGTACACACAAAAAGGAGGCAAATGCAGTACACCTTTGATGAGGCTAAGCCTGCAAAACTAAGGCTCACTTTGGCACAAATCCGAAGAGCACGTGTACAAAGTGAATGTGCGGGATGCTTTATCAATTTGTCAGGTTGGAGGCTAGGATGACCATCTGCATCTACCTTTAACTTTGTTTGTGTTGTAGGATATCTTGGAAAAGATGATCTTTTCCCCTCGTTTAACTCAAATGCTGTATGGCACACACACACACACACACATAGAGAGAGAAAAAAAATCACACCAAGAGCCGTACACTCGAATTTCGCAAGAATAGCGCAATGCAGAGACTGTATGCGACTAAAAACGTTATAATTTTGAGAGTGTTATGTAGTTTTAGAAGTAAGTGGGTGTTTCAAAGTTCTCTCCTTAAAAAGCGTCTTCACTAGGCCCTGCTTGATAAAGGATATCAAAGGAGTAGCTGTTGTAAAATTTGCGCCTAGCAGAAGCTATCGACAAAGCAAGCCAAATGTACAAAAGGGATCATCACTGTAATGATGGAGTGGCATGGATATTACTGTCAACACTCTCCCTAGTGCGTAGGTCTCCTACTTTAGTTTACAGCCCATTGTCAATGCCAACTTCATCATCTTTCGTTCTAAGTTAGCCCTCGACAACAAGAAGGAGCTTAAATGGAGTTTTTTGAGCTACTCACCATCTCCCTTCGCTGGTCAAAATGGAGTGCAATTAAGTCCAACGATGCGACTTGGCACAGAGAGTTCTACACTCGCCGACTTTCTTTAGGCAAATATTAAATAAGTGCTGGAGGATTTGTAGACATGCATGGGCTTAAGAAAGGCCTTTAAACATTTTTTACGTATTAGGCTTTGCGATTTAAATCGAATTTTCTCTCGTTCCATTAAAATAATGCAGCTTCCCTTAACAGATCCAAATTCGGGACTTAATTAAACCCTTAAGCATTTGGTACAAGATTGATCCGAGTGTGCAGGAGGCAATTGCTCCTAAGTTGTAGGAGATTGCGGTTCGGGTGTAGTCGCCCTCAGAATAACCATCAGCATAACCATCAGAATGCAAAAGGCGTGCCACATAGGCGTGCGACAAACGAGTGCAAAGCTAAGACAATTGGGTGGGTGTAGAGTTAAAATTGGAAATATCAATGGGACAACAGATCTGATGAGACTTATTATTACAACACGCAATGACCCCTCTTTGGTAAGGGATATGAGAATGTTCGGGGATTGGGAGCTATGATTGAGATTGGACTTTTAGGCGTGCTTAATGCTCGCATCTCTTGCGGGACATCAAGAAACGCTCTCCGCATTATTACTGGCTTAAGTGAGGCAGCAACGATATGGTGACTTGGCTGAAATTCTTACCCTCACGCTTCACTTTCCCACCATCTCCCATTACCCCTTCCGAAAGTCCTGCTCTTCTCTACTTGACAGGCCTTGAGTGGAATAGAAAGGGCAAATGATTTCGCAAAGACCTTCACTGAAGACACACACGCACCCGCAGGGCTCGTGGCAAAGGCGATGTAGTAACCAGCTAATGTAGAGGCTCGAGCAACTAGCATGTGGGTGGGTGGTGAGTAAATAATGCGTGCATTTTGATGATTTAACCATGCGTTGTCGCAATCACAGCCTAAGGCCAAGACGTCGTTTGACCCGCATCGCCGATCTCGATGTCCTCTGTGCGTGCACACGTGCAAAAAGCAGGTGCGATCGGGTGGTGACCATAGCGGAACGTGTTCTTAAGGAGGTAGAGTACGCACAGTGATTCCGGTTGATCAGATTTTTACCTTTCATTGTCACTGATTTTGCACAATGCAAACTGAAAAATATTTTCTTCTTGGACATTACCATAATCTGGTGAGATAAGAAATGGCGTGTAACTCGGGCTTTATGTGACTGTAAAAGTTGCTTGTACCTAAACATTCCTACCTTCAATCATCAATCAAGGATTGCTTGCGGTTCTCAACAAATTCTTGACACTAATTCTATTATTCGCATTTAAGTATTCTTATTGGCAGGAATGATGAAGTCTGGTCTGATAAAGAGAAGGTGCCACCAAAATGTTAATTTCAAGATGACCCAGAGATCGTTACAGCAAAGTAAGCTACGTAAACCGCGTCTAAGCCTATCCTTCAAGTGGCCCACGCACCTCATCATAAGTTACATTTTACCGCCTTTAGCAACAGAAATCTTATCAAAAATACATTACATCATGATGATCGCCTTCGATGCAATGAGGCATGTGGGGGTGGGGTCGACTTCGCTGCTACAAGTTTAGGGGTGTCATGAAACATGATTCCACTGTTAAAATGACTTAAGAGGCAAAAGCCACCGCTTCAGCAGCCAGTTCAGGCAATCTCATGGGCCACAGCCAAGATGTATTAGTGGCTATAAAAGGGTTTTTTCTTTGAGTCGCTAACTTTATGTAAAATTCAAACCAAGAGAACCTCGATTCCCATTTCATTATATGGCTAACTAAACCTTTGACCATGTCTACAACAAAACTTTGTGAAGGCCGCTGAAAGCCTGGCATCCATCTATGAACGAAGCATCCTATTTTCTGGAAGCAGCAAATTGAATAGCTTCTGTGGTGTCAAGTTTTAGGCTATGGAGATAAATATTTTTGCTAGTACGACTTTACCTTTAAGGGCTCAAAGAGGCTGGGGGCCGTGCACAGGTTAAGGTGCAGCATTCCGCGCAAACATTACGGCGACATCACGCTTGCTATGTTAAAATCCTGCGGCAACATCGCCTCCCTTCTACCTAGAATCAGTGTACGCCTGACATCTAAAAGAGGACTAAAAACTCGGTCAGATGATGGAACATTTATTCTCACTTCGGTTAGAATACGGTCCTCCTATTCATGTTTGAAACATTTCAGCCTGATGTGGATCACTTCTCCCCATAAAGCACACATAGTACCATGGACGATCTTACTTGGAGTTACATTTTCACCTGAAGCCCTATGTGAGTGTGGAATCGAAGTTGGCGAACCGCAATTTTACTACTTTGTAAACAAACATGGGGGATAAAATAGGGTGGAATTGCTGATATACTAAGGGACTTGTCCACCTCCTACAAAAGTTCGTTAAATTTTGTAGGGTTTTACAGAATATCTCGAAACAGAGGTTGTCAACAGTAATAACCAAGAATTAAGAAATTTTCATTTCTTATAATAATAAACGTCCTTTTCTCTGCAATCAGACCTCATTGGGAATCGAGGACTCCAAAAAGAGAGGGCTTTTAGCTTGATCGAGGTTGCAAGGCAGCCACTTTGGCCAGCGCGGAATTTCACCATCTTGCAGGAAGACGGCAATGATGGAAACTGAAAATTGAGCACAGCTATACGAAATTGCACGCAGAGTGCGAGCTGTGGAGGAGGATGTGCGACTTACCGCATAGAGCGATAATGCCGTTGGCAAGAAAAAGCTCGTTGAAGCACGTCTCCACGCTCATTTGGGAAAATATTCCTGCTCCAATCAAAGAAGCTGGAACCTTTTAAAAAGTCGACAAATGTGCAACTCTACCGAATATAATAACAACGTCCATAACTTTTGCATCAGGATTCTACCCAACTGTTACTAATTCATCCTCTAAAGCTGACGCCGCACAAAAGTTTCGCCTTTTTTAAGTGTATGATTTAACTGAGTAATTTTTCACCCTCCAAAGGGAATTGATTTGCAAAATGTTTAACTTAACAGACTACAAAGGAGCTCCAAACAATTTTGAGTTATTCGTCAGAAGCTTTATTTCAGTGTCTAATTTCATCTAGTACCTTTTCTAGTAATAATGATAAAGCTACGAATTATAAAGTTTCGAGCATTATGACAGGGTTGTGAATGTTCTGCATTCGTATGCCTCGTTGAAAGGAGTTGCAAGAATACAACTAACCGAGGCTAAGAAGATGGTGCCGTATATGCTGGCGACGTGTTTGGGGCCCATGGACCGCGTTATACCGAAAGTCAGCATCACGAAATTACCCGCCAGGCAGAGAAAGAGCAGAGGCACCCAAATGGCATAGCACACTTTTCCAGCTTTTGGCAGCCACAAAATGTGCGGCAGACTGATGAGTGCCGCTGCGTAAACCGCATTAACAAGGACCATTGGAATCTATGGGTGGATCCAACTTCTAGACTTTGAATGGGTTAAAACGGTGTTGGATTAATTAGTTTTATCATCTTGAATTTCACACCCCAAAATCCTGCTTTTTTGCTATTCTATGCAGTTGTGTCCAGTTGTCTGGCTTAGAAGTTAAGCAAGGAAGAGAAATAAGTGATTGTGCCTTGGATAATATGCCCATAGCAATCCTAATCCATGACAGAGGCTGTTAGGATGCACTACTTACATTGAATTAAAGTAGCTATCACGTAGCAGGAAACGAACATTCAAAATAGTAGCAACTGACCTTGAACGATACTTTGTCACCAATGTAGCCCCAGAAGAAGTGGCCAAGCATGTTGAAGATGGCTCCAGTGATACACACCACCATGAGGAATTGATCGTCCGGTATTGGTGCTTGTGCAACCGTCTTAATGCCAGAAAGGCGTTCGAACAATCGTAGTTTTGTGAGGTTTATGAGAAGGTCTGCATGACCCGTGCATTAATGGAGTTGCGCCGTAAAACCAATGGGAACGGGAGACTTTTGTGGGTACAATTATATCGCCATGGCTAACCGTCCACTTCCACCTATAACTCACCTTGACATAGGCCGAGAGCACGGTTACAGGGAAGTAGGAAAGGAACATGACTGTCCAGAAAAGGTAAAAATTGGCAGTGCTGAAGGCCTGTCGAAGAGTGATGCTTGGTGCAACAGCAAATCTTAACTTGTCAGTGAGGCAGATTCCACCAACTTACTCTTCTGCTGAGGCTAAATCGTTGCTGTTGCTGCCAACAGGAGTCTAAAGCAGTTATTAGAACGTCTCATCACCCTCCTCCACTTCTGAAGTCAACGTCAAGCAGAGGTTAGCTGAATCAATTGAGAAACGGAGGATTGCGAAATGTCGACACCTCTACTACTTTCGAAATTTCACCTATTTGGTTGTGTATTATAGGCCTTAGAGCATAAAGGTGGAATGAACTTTCTGCTACTTTAAACAGCTTTTTTATGTCAACGTTTATAACGATAACTTAATAACATTAGAACGTATTTTTAACTTAGGTCTTTGTGTGGTTTGAATGAGGAGTCTTTTCGGTTTGTTTACAGTACCGAAGTCGTCTCGTACCTCCCCTTCGTCCGTTTCCAAGTCACCGGATGGTCGCAGTCGGAAGAAGCAGCAACCTACTACCTCCAGGCCAGTGATCACTGCGCCGGTTATTTGGAGACATCGAGGAATGCGATTGAGCATGTTGACGTCCTTAAACATGCTAAGAAGCGGAAAAAATACAGGTCATTTACTGTCCCTGCTTCATAAATTAGAAATGTAGTCAATAGGAAGGATGGAATTGAATGAGGATGAGACTCACTGAGTAGTTAAGCTGGGTGACGTGTTGTTAGGGTTGATAAGGATGGTTTGTATGGGCAGTAGCACCGTGGCCCCTCCGCCAAAGCCTACGGTGCAAATGCCGATCACAAGGCCAAGTCGCTTTGGAAACCACTAAATGGGATGAAATAAACGTCTTTAATAATGAGTTGGGCAAGCCTCATTCGGCATTAAGAAACTGTAATGCTATGAAGTAACAGCTGTCATGGGCGATTTGCCCTCACTGAAAGCGCCACTTGAAGGACCAGGCCATATCCACAACCGACGGCGGTGCCTGCCAAAACTGAGTATGTGAAAAAGAAGAGAATCGTGTTGACTCTTATTGTGAAGGCTGAGAAGAAGACGCTGGAGCTAAAACGAAAAGGGTTATGGAAGGCTTAACTCGTGCAATTGCCGGCAAGGCATATCCGTGTCCTCTAAAAATTTAAAGGCTGTCCTACCACGTTTAAAAGCGAAAGAGTATTGGAGTCGATTTCGATAAAACAGTCCACTTAGGGTTGACTTGGCGAAGTCTTGAAGTTCATTTAAAGCGGAGCTTACAATCTGTCATCAATAACCCACTTCTATTCTAGGAGCTTCCCAATTTTGCTGCGAAAATGGACCTAAGCCAGGCCAACACTAAACTGAGGTTACATCATTCAATGAATTTCTGCGAATATCCATCCTCACTACTTTCTTTTTCTTACTGAACCTCAACAAATGGTACCGCATTCTAAGTTGGCTTACAAAATGCACTTGTGAAGAACGTCACCCGTGAGGTTGATTTTACCTATTTAAAAGGCAGGCAACAAAGACAAGTCGCATGAGGCCGATTTTGCGCCAGAGGACACCAGAGAGGGGAAGAGAAATGCCGAAGGCTACGACACAGCCCGCGAATAGCCAAACAGCAAAGCTCGGATTTATGTTGCCATCGACATACTCGTGAAGAAAGGACACAATATAAGGTCCCATATTGGCTGGAAGTGAAAAAAGAGGGGTTTTTGGAAGTGAAATGCATGGAAGGTTGGATGTCACACCCACACTCACCCAAAGTGTACATTTGGCCAAAGCAAAACATGATAAGAAACCCGCCTAAGAGGGCGTAGTAGCCATGTCTCATGCCAGCAGAGACAGCGTTTTGCCGAGCCGAAAGGAACGAGTTTGGACTTTTTGGTCCGAAAGTGAGGGCGCAATGTTCTTATACTTAAAAAAATCAAAACAGTCAGCCAATCGGTGCGCTCGGTGATCATATCAAACGTGCATGTGAGCTTAAAACCGCAAATCGTCGGAGCGGACTTGTTTGTCCTCATCCAAGTGACATAATTTACACAAACTCAGCGTCCCTTCCTAATGTTGCGCTATGTGGTCCAAAATATTTCGTTATTAAAAGCAACAAGAACTGCGAAAATTTAAAAAAAACTGAATGCTTTCTCGCAAGGCTTTTTGTTATGTGGGGACAAGCATATGCACTTGTTAGTGGTGATAAAGCTCTGCGGTTTCGACAAAGTAAAAGGCTCTATCTTTCGTTCATTCATTTAAAAAGTGCAGAATACGAAGCTTGGAAAGGTGTCATGGAGAGAGAATCAAATGAGTTCGAGTTGTTTATTCGAAATGTACTTACTATGTTGAAACAAAACCAGTAGTAGTTCACATCACATGGCTGCAATAATTGTGATTTGAGGTGGAAGTGACCATTACTGAAAATGGGGGAATCGGCAAGAAATCACACGACCATAGATTGTCGTCAACTTTACTCTAGACAATTGTGCTCCTTGATAAAAACGAGTAAATGTTTGCTAGGATTGGAACAAACAAGTATGAAAACTGTTAGTTTCACAACCACTCGCATTAAGTCGAGCATAAAGGCACATTGGGAGAAATGACTCCCTTCAGCAGTAATCTGTTTAGTTAAGAGAAAAGAATGAAGAAGCTCGCTCTGATCATCCATTTCTCAGCGTTCGACCCCCTTTTGAAGTCATCACGCATTCATCGGCAATGAACTCGACGCGTGGGCTGTGGAGGGGAGTGGAGACCACTTCATGGCTGCTTTTGGTTTAGCAGCTTCGAAATACTGCATCGAAGGATTTGCAGGGGAAGATTTTAGGCACACATTTTTAATTAACGATAAAAAGAAAAAAACATCATTGTAATTTTTACATTTTTATGTTTCGGTGCATTAAGCTTGCAACTTGGCTCAAGGGTAGACTAGTAATACGTGGCCACATAAACTTTTGCCGACTAAAAGTGCCCGAGCACACGGCTCGGATGGTGTGCAGCCTTTGAACAAGCAGCCAGTGGACGCACTTCCACAACAGATGTTCCAATTGCAAGCAAGCTAAGGGCACATGATTGGGCGGTAATTCGCTAAACCTTAGCCTTGGGAGCTATTCTTGCGTGTCATGGGACCGTTGGGAAAGGTTATTTGCAAGTGCAATCCGTCGAAGATCAAAAAGGCGCCTTTCACAAGTTCTCAACAAAATGGATCCTCTGGTAAAAGAAGTAATGAAAAATGTTTGGGCGGACTAAATTGCTCCCGAAAAGAACTTAACTGTGGTCTCCGAACTGAAATGAGAACCTCGTTTCTCCTCCTCCATCATCCCGGTGTGGGAGTGTAGTTAAAACAATACCCTTAAAGGGTGGAAGTTCAACAAAAATGCAGAACACAAAGCTAATTTGTCCATTCTCCTGTTCTCACTGACCTTATTAAAAGGCAAAACATGGTGGAGTTATTCGAGAAAACGAATGTTTTAATTGATGACTTATTAAATGCAGATCAAATTTCATTCCCAACTGATGTGACCTGTACGTTTCGGAAAGTAAATGAAGCCTTCCTCGGAGGGGGACATTCTTCTCATTTAATATTTTTGTGCTCAAGAACTGAAAATTACAATGTGCTTAATCCAAGACCTCGGAAAGGGTGATTTGAGTCCTGGATACTGAAATTTGCCAAGACTTCCATTTGCGACATCCACCTCCTTCAGTACATGCACTGTCGACCGTAGAACATTTCGTCATTCCCACTTATTCGCTCGTTGGCAATGGCATCTGTGGTGAGACAAAGAAGCACCACTTCATTCGCTTTACCGACTCTTAAGGCGTAAGAGGCAAATTCAAAGGACGACGACTTGTTAAAAAATTCGTTGTCTTTCCTTAAAAGTGGAAGTCCATTTTTTGGCTATTTTTACTAGCTCACAGGCCTGGTCTTAAGGAAGACGAATCGCATTCAAATGCTTGAGGTTTTCACTTAAAGGGCATTCCGTTTGGACTCAGTTTAAAGGCCTCAAGTACACAATCATTCAGCAGTCCTTTATTATTTTACTCATCGTGACTGCATGATTAATTCGATCAAATACAAACGAGGAGTCTCCAGACACGTAGCAGCCTTATTCAAAGCCTTTTATCGGGTTTTAAACCTCGGAGAAATGACCTTTCAAGGCTGGAATCTGACTGCGCATTTGAGCGCTGTCGCTGTACTTCTTCCCTAAAAGTTCTTCCAACATGCACAGTGGTTCCCAAAGCTTACCAAAAAAGAACACCACTCATGCTAATAGCATAGTCAGGGAACAAACGAGACAACCGCAGGGTTCAGATGCTTCTCGAAAAACAGCAAACACAATGAAAGGGCGTAGTAGAGTGTGCTAGTGTAAACAGTTGGATGGCTTAATCAACACATTCCACGGGTAAGGACACTCAGAAAGAGCACCATGGTGGAGCCATACAACATCTCAAGCAAACGAATGATGCATGCAATGGTGGCCTTCTTTATTTCACTGCTATTTATGGTAAGAGAAATTCACTATCGAATCACCTCAACTGGCCTTCAAATTCGCATGCAGCTGAGAAGGCGTTTGATCGCCAACTCACTGATTGCGTTGACAAAACAACCGGAAGAACAATTTTAGACAAAGTGGTGAGCTTATTGTTGTTTATGAACCTAACTAAAGGCTAAAGGCGGAGTCATGCAACTATGGACACGGTCTACCATGGCACTCCAAGCGATAGGGAATGCAGCCACAACAGAGGCTGTGAATGGAAGTGGCGCCGCTTCTGCTGATGAGAACAACTTAGTTGGCTACAGAACTGAGGTAATTACCAACAGCTGAAGTCATTTTAGCTTTTTTTGCGAAAATTCTTACCAATTTCTCATTCTTATTATTTTTACTTTTTCTGCTTCACATTTCTGTCCCTTTAGAGTGTTGGCTTTCAACACTCCCCTCCATAGTGTTGTAATGCGTCGATAACGATGCAGGAAGACTAAAAGCCTTGATGACAGAACGAATTGGAGTGGCCAGACGGACTGGTGGAGGTGAGACCGTGGAGATTCTAAGTGCTCCCTCACCAAAACTGGAAGGTGCATAAGCAATAAACATTGCGTATCGTGTCAAACAGATTTGACATGGTGATTGACGGGTAAATCGTTGTATTGGCACTAAAGGAAGGTGAGGAATTAAATTGCCTATTAAAATGCCCTCCTTTCAATGCATGTAGCTTCCAATCCACTAAAAGGTCAGATTTCATCATTGAAAGAAGAAGAGCGCAAAATCACCTTAATTTTACAATCTTTAAGCCGTTGGTGAAAATACATTTCAAGTGCCCAAAGCGAGTGGTCTTTGTCCATCTTGTTCTTTGAAAATGGGCTCACATTTAATCGTATTCACATTCGATGCTAAGATCTGGTTTGACTAAAATTTTGCAGTTCAAATCGTTTCGTTTTAGTCTTCTGAATACACTTTGCTGTTGTCGGCGTTATGTTACGGAGCCTCTTGATTCCTTTCTTGAGAGTTACTAAGACTGATGAAGCTCTGACAGTACAACAATGCATTTTTCTCAACCAAAAATGGTAGACGGTTATGACTAAGTCCTTCCACGAAAAACACTTAGTGAGACTTCTTGATAAAGGCCTCATTGAGACGTTGAGTACAAAGGTGGAGGCTCCACCAGCCTCACTTCATTCCCCGGGGTTAAATGAGTTCATGTTCTTTAAAAAGTTTAAGGTGATAATAGATTGACGATTACTTTATAAAATCCCATTCTCAGCAATCAAAACTCCCTTTTCATCGAGCCAACTGTTAGTAACAACATCATCATCTTAAACATTTATCCTCGAGTTCGAGTTAGATTAGGCACTATCTTGTTTCTGTGAATGTATTCAGCCCTCTGTCGTCGAAATTCTTCTTCCAGTGCGAATATTTCCCCAACTTTATGCGCAATAATGGTAAAAAGATACCGCTCCAGTGTTTTCCTTGTGAGGACCAAATTAACAGCTTTCAAAAGTTCAAAATATTAAAAGAAGGAAGAAACAAAAGTTCTTATGGCACATCAAAATTGTGAAAAATTTAATGCAATCTCTTTTGATAGATAAACAGCTTCTGCAAAGAAAATATATTTGAACTCGGTGGAAATGCTCTCAAATTTTTTTGTATTTAACTAAAGGAACCAAAAAGGAAACCATTCTTGACTCTACAACCCATTAAAACAGATGCATATTTGGAAAGAGTGGGTTTTACTGTGTGATACACATAATTTTTCACTAAACCCAAGCGACTGAGCATGTACGTATGCAGGAGCCAAAACTAAAAAGCAAAACGGACGGACTAATCTATGTTCAAGTCCTGAGGTTGGGTATCTGCACATCAAAGGTGGTCGTTTCTGCTCGAATGTGTGCGGAATGAAGACAATGGGGCTTCATCAATGTTGAAGTTTTCCATAAGAAATACAGCGCTACTTTATCGTAATAAGTAAAAAGTTTTGCATCTGGCTAGGTAATGGCACATTTTCTAAAATCTTGGAAAGTTATAGGAAATGCATTCAGAAGTACTAAACACTGTTGAGGCCTAAAATACAAGGAAGGTTGTACGTGCCGGTTCCAGTTGTTATGGGAATGGTTTAGTTGGTGACTGTTTCAGACCTGCCTGAGAGCATAACATATGCAAAAACAGACGCGGTTTGCATCAGATGCTATTCAAAAAAATGCATATGAAAACGTGTTCATTGATGCGACTGGCATAATTTGTAAGGAGCCGGGTAATAAAAAAGTAGGATGAGTAATCGTGTTGACAGCACATTGCAGCCCGAATTCATCCTTTCCTCTT